TCCCCCCCCCCCCCTTGTAGTCAAATCCTATTTCCGACCCAATTTTCCGAGCCGAGGATGGTCTAGAGCGTCGCTTAGCATGATACCGAGTGCAACCTCCGCTTTCTTTCTTTCACCGAGGAAACCGGCGAACGACGGCGAGGAATATTCCGCGGAATAGGAGGTCGCTGTCTCGCATGAGGCGATGCGCGAGTTTAAGGTCAACCTCGAAAGCAGGAACAAACGAACACCCATGCCTTTCCATCTTGTTACACGATCGATTCCTCCTATGCAACGCGCTCGTCATTCCTTCGCGCTAGGCTCTTCCGCGCAATTCCGCTCCACGCGTTTCTCTCGCTGATCGAGTAGAGAATTTTCGAAGCTATCTTTCTCCTTGTCTCTCTTCCTCTTCCTCCCCCCCCCCTCCTCTCTCTCTATCTTTCGTTGCGAATCATAGTGTTGAAAAACTGCCCGGGGCAGCATTTCAGGAACATGTGTGCCGCTCATTGAACGAACAATAAAAATGTGGTTTCGAACAAATTAATCATCTCGAATTTATAAAACGTTTTTGATCAGCAGTTAATAACAGGATATAACTTTCTATGTCACGTGTCTGTCCGAAATCTATATCGAGTGTCGAGTTATCAATCATACCAAAGTAAATATAGTGACACTCGCATGTCGGGATATTATCTAGTCAAACATTGAGTCCAGATGAAGATGACAGTTTACTTTCGAAAGTTCATACGAAAGTATGTAGGGAAAAGGGGGATAAAACGACGGCTTTAAGTTTGTCGATATTTCGAGGAATATAAATATGTATAATGAAAGATATAAATGAATGTAATAATACGTTATTAAGTATATTATTAAACATATACGTTTTTAAATATATTGTACAATAATTTTGTGGAGAAAGTGCAAATATTTACTATAAATGTGTAATTATTCGTGAAAAAAATACAACAAAATTACATATGTGAGTGTATCCAAAATACATTTCTCTATCACATCATCTACTATCGTTGACAGATTGAAGATAAATTACACACGACGGATTATTTATCATCATTAAAAGCCTCTCTAACGAGTTGTGCACCGACTCGTTACTTATTATCAGCTTAGAAGCAAATCGTTATCGTTACCCGCTTCGTCATCTTGCCCGCCTTCCCCTACGTTGAGGAATAAGAATGTTTTGCGGACGGATGTTTTGAATCTAACGTGAGATTATTCCATTATCTCGCCTGTGAGAAACATCAAAGGAACACTGTTTATGGGCGGGTAATTGCCGCGGAATCGGGCGATTCGAATGGAATCGAACGTTCCCCTATCCCAGTTCGTGTGACCCGCTATTTCGGGCATCCCGTGAACGGGACTTCCACTTTCGTTTTCCGCCGAGATCGCCCCGACACGAATCGGAATTCACACGAGTACCGTTACATTCGTACTCACAGGGCGTCTTCAGCTTCTCCTTCGCCGTCCGCATGCTGCCGTTGGACCTGAGCGTGATGCCGATGCTCTTGGACTTCCCGACCGAGCCCTCCACCACACCCGGTGGGGACATTATCGAGATGCCACCTTGCTCCATATCCTTCGTGCAATTAAGAGATCACTGGAAAGACAGAGGGGAGTGACACCGGTGCAGTTGAAATATTGGCCGATTTTATCTTATCGAAGCTCGGAGCTTAGCGCGTCACCGTGGCAAATCACGCAAAATCTCTCCTCGACACGCGGCAACTTTGATTAATTCGAGAGAATCGCAACGGGGAAAATAACAGGATCGGACGTGAAAGTGTAACGCGCGTTATCGTTCCGACGTTCCCGTTTTTTTTAACATTAATCGCCATTTACATCGTGAAAAATGCGGTCGCGATCGGCGAATTCGCGCCGAATGATCGATAAAAGCACCGTTGCGTCTCGAACGAACGGTATAACTCATCGTGATCGATCGCCGGCTTCGAACTTCGCGCACAGTGGCTTCGCGACGGTAGGATTCCCCGGCCGCGGCTATTTGCAAACAGCCGATAGATAATAATGAAAATATCGTTATCTCGTTGGACTTAGGACATTTAAGCGGGATTATATCGTCACGTCGAGAATGACCGATGATTATATCATCGTGCGAATAACGAGCGCAAGGTACGGGAAGCTGGCCGTCGCTAATTGAGTTCCCCCGGAGCTGTCAGGGCATGCTTTGACGTTTCGCGCGCGAATAATTGAATTGCGCGTCTCGGGATTGTCGTGCGGTCGCATTCGCTTAATCGGCTTCGCGATAAAGCGAACGGTATATGGACGATTAATCATTGATCGATCGCTCGCTCGCGACTTTCGCCGTGTCGCGTCGACAGTGGCGGCCCGGATGGATCAAATCGCGATTCCTCGCATATCCGCGCCGGTAAACGTCGTATCGGTCATTATCGCGTTATCTAAGCCGGGGAAGCGTTGAAATTCGTTCACAAGAGCGGAGAAAACCGGCAATTGCTAATCTCACATTATCTCTCGCGCGCAGCGGACTTTGTATATCTGGAATTACGTAACTTCCGAAAACACACATTTCCACTGCGCCGTCGTGGGCAGATCGGCAATGTTGGACCACGTGTTTCTCAAGTTCGAACCGAAAACGACCGCGAACTCGACACGGCAACGGACAGTAGCAACGTCAATGAGGAAAAAAATCTTTCCGAAGGACGAAGAAAATAATTACTACTGATTTCGTTAATCGCCTGTCGATCGACGACGATTCTCACAAATCGGGTTACACACAAATCCACCTATCGCATATTCGACACTGATCAGCGCGGAACACGCAAAAGTTCCCACTCGCGACGGAAAAAAAAAAATAAGAACGCGATCGCGGAAGAAGAGGAAGCAGCTAGTCAATTGGAATGTACTACTTACCCGGAGGAGGCGTTCTCGCGGATGCGAGACGGAGGTCTCAGAGGTCCACGAGATTGCGTCGAAGAGCGCCCGGCGATTCCGGTCGGCAGTTCCGGCGGAAATGTGCGACTCTCCGTCCTGGTCGTTGACGTCTACGCACGTGAATAGTGATCGACGCTTCCGGCGGGCCGATGAGCGGCGCTCTATTGTTTATATCCGTCTTTTATTGCTACGCGGTTTCGAGGAGACTGAATGGTTTCGCCAGCCGCTCTCACCTCTATATGTAGAAACCCTCCACTGCCAACGGCCGTCAGCCTCTCCCGTTATACCGGCGGTCCCGTGTGTGCACGCGAATACGCGATCGCGAAGATACGCACGTTCCTCCTGCCGAATTGCCGAGACGTTGCCCGCGTTCGCACGCGCTCTCTCCCTCTCTCTCGGCTTTGCTTCCGCGTCGGAAAATATTTACCGTATATTGCGTTATTGCAGACGCACGAGGAACATACAAACGAATGTTCCCCAGCCGGCGGCGGTTTTATTATTTTGAGAACACGCGTCGATCGATCATCTTCGAAGCGCGCGAATGGCGATCTCTTGATATCTCGCTGGTGTAACGAGCGGGGACATCCCGATAATTCCCTAGGGATGAAGACGTTCCCCGCTGGGAAAAAAATCGATATTCCGCGTGGAATTCGTGCGCGCGAATATTTATAAAACTTTATCGCGTGGCTGAGAGCAATTTGCGCGTGCATATGCCTGTCTCGGTCCCTTTAATTCCCCTTAAATCCAGGTTACATATTTGCTCATACGGCCAATTTAATCACGCCGGGTACTGCGACCCGCCAAGCGAAAAATCACAGTCATTTTGTCCGGTGATGGGCGATCTTGTAGAAAATATCAATTTTTGAATCGGTCTGGTGAAAAATCGGACTAAAAAGATCGATTTCTCAAAAATCGATCAAAAAGAAGTCGCGTGCAACGAGCATTTATAAACATGTTTCTTTTTATATCATAAGCATGTCTGCTAAGTCTAAAGTTAATTGAGACTGTTATATTTTAGATAATAGGGAGAAATTATAGAAAAATGAAGAGAGATAAGATAGAGATCAATAGACAGAGATGAGATGGAATGAAATGAGAAAACAGATAACGAAGTTACACTCCCCCCATGTTAATTTCGCGGTTGAAATACGCTGGAATAGAAATTTAATTCACAATTTAGTTACAAAGATATATAACACCAAAAGTTGAAAGGTTGCGAGTTCTCCCGACATTTCCATTTTAGAAACTCGAGAGGCCCCACACGTCTCGTAATGATTGTGATGAATTTCCTTCAGATAGATCACGTTTCACGCATGACGTTCAAACGTTGTGCACCACGATTGCCGAACATTTTCGAAAACGGAGATCACGTTACGCCGCGAAGAAGCTGCGTGTTCCATCGAGCGTTCAACCGCAATAAAACTGATGAGATTTCTCGTAAACACACAGTTATATTAAATAATCGAATCAACCAGCTATCAAGAGTCGCTGCAGTCATTAACTAACCGCATTTTACATAACTTTGTGATGCCCGACACGGGTCGATGACTTCGATGGTATCTATTCAAACAATGAGAAACGATGGCATCGTTTCTTTCCTCCGTTAAGCGGAAGACTCACCACGTCCTCATTACATGTTCTGTAATCGTTTATTATTTTGTTGTTATTAGTACCGCTCTTATCGTCGTTATTATTGTTTACATGTCTGATTAATAATAATAACTTTATTGGTCGATACACGGAAAAGGAATTAGCTGTCTATACAATACAATTGAAATTTAGTTATCAGATTTAGTTTTTAGACATCGAAGCTAAAAATTAGATAGAGGAACTAAAAGAATTAGGTAAATTAATTAAATTTCGTATTTCGTATATTCAGATTTAGTTTTTAGACATCGAAGCTAAAAATTAGATAGAGGAACTAAAAGAATTAGGTAAATTAATTAAAAATCGTATTATATGGACATCTAATTTTTGCCTGCGGGGGTTAATTCTTTTTTGCCGTGTATAAGTAGGAAGGAAAATAAATAATAATACAGAAAATAAAAATAGCGAAACATAGACCAAAGAGCGAGGCAACAGCAGTGACTGCACTGATATAATTATCTAATCCAAATTATTACGATTATCGAACAAAATCAATGTAACAATTTGTCATAATTACGAGACCAACATTATCTTTTGGTCAAAATATCGTGCCGATGTCCGCGATTAGGCTCTTATCGGTGTCTCATTTCGAGATTGGACATTAAAGAATACCTCGAGGGCCCGATAAACGAAACAATTTCTGAAAACAGAAAGATCTACGATAAGAGCCGAGCGCTATTGTTGGAATGAGTACATTTTATTAGATTTATATAAGAAGATAAATATGTTTGACAGTGTAAACGCACGCGCCGACTTATTTGTCAGATTTACTGTCGAAGCCTTGGTGGCTGAATTGATAAGGCATCTCTTCCGGTAATTGGGGAAGTCCAGGTTCGACTCCTGGCTGAGGCAGTATTTTTCGCAATATTCAAGAGAATCAATTAAAGGGATGCTGGAGCGATGGCCGAACTTCGATGGGAAAATGTTCTCATCTGCGTTGCGAATCAAAGTGTGTATTTTTAGACGCATAAACGTCTAAAAATGACACATTCGACTGAAGTTCTTTTCGCACGTTTTTTGCTGGGTTTCGTCATTTAAAATGTTTAATCGTGTTAAGTTATAAATTAACACGTCCAATCGTGTTAAATGACGTAATTTAAAGCAACAAGAAATGCGTAAGAAAAGCCTCAGCTAAAATAACACGCCTGGATTTGAAGTGTGAGTGAAGCTAAAAATGTCGGCAAATCCTTGATATTTTAAACGTAATATAGAAGCAAGCATTTAAATGAGCATTTAAATAAGCGTGCGTTTAAATGAGCACGCGAGAGGATATAGAAGTATATGGGAAAGTGCGTTGAAACGAGTAAATAGTACAAGAGAGGGAGAAGGGAGAGAGAGAGAGAGAACTATATATACTACTACTGCTCTACTTACTATCCTGCTTCTACACTACGCACGTGCAGATGCATAAAACCTGTTCGACTGCTATACTTTCTTATTAGGCTTAGTTTTGTTGACACACCGTTGTTTCTTAGAAACTTAGGTGCTTCACAAAAATATATATTCCGTTACCGTGGTCGACATTTTTTCATCAATATCAAAGAAAATCTTACGGAAAAAAAAACATTTATTTCGCAAAATTTCAATTTCTTTTTCTCGGTGCACTGTCAAACGTATCTTTACCCTTCCACATAAATCTAATAAAATGAATGTATTCATTTCCCCCCTCCTCCTCCTCCAATAACCCCGCTTTGCTCTCTCTTATTGGCTTTCCCATGTTTTCCAGTGATTGTACGTCTCGGAACGATTTCTTGCCGCGATTTTTCACCGAGATCTGTGTTTTCAAACGTCGAACAGGTTACCCTTAATCCCCGGCCGCGTCTTACTTTCGACAAATTTTTCCACGGCCATGCCCGCCGTACACAACACGATGTATCCAGCATCGCGGCCGCGCCGCGATCAATCACTCCACGGTGATCGATAGACAGGCACTCGTCCGCCCCACGTTTTCGCCGGAGCTGAGGAAAAATCGCGTGATCGATGGAGTTAAAAGTATAATCCTTCGAAATGATATCGCGTAAACTGGGTACACAATGCGGAGAGCGCCGGACGAGTGTCTCGCGCGCTGGAGGCGGATAAATAATGTATCCCGCCGTAATCGCGGCGCGGTTTCTTTCGACTCCGAGAAAGGAACAGTAGGTCACCCGGACGGAAAACCTGAGACCCACCGTTTCTTTCGCGGTATTAGAGACAAATGGCTGCCCTGACCTCCTCCAATTGCGCGACAAGCGACGGTTCGATTTTTTTTTCCCTTCCGCGCTCTCCCTCGAAGATCCGTGAGCCGCGGCGAATGCGGGGACTCCGGACGGTTAACGACGATACGATGATACAATTATGGTAATGGCAATGATACGCGATAAGAAAGCCGAGCGGAAAGTCGGGCAAAACAGATCAATATTCACGGCGCGTTAATTCCGAACGGGAGAATACCGAACTAATGATATTCGAAATATTAATAGTGCATTAATTGGCAGACATCGGCGCTCGCGTGTACAGCGCGATGATGGGAAATTCGACCGGTCATTAATTAAATGGATAATTGCTCCCGGTGTGTGCGGCCTGGAAAAAGGAAAAGGCAGACGAAAGATCCCGCGTACGGGAACTTTCGCGATTGCGAGCGGCGTCGTTACGCCGATCGGCGGAGCCTTTACACGTGTTAAAGTAACCTCGTGTAAAATTGAAGCCATTCATACTCGGCGCGCGGAGAAAAATACGGGGAGCCGCGGCTATCTATCATCCGCTCTGTGCTTCATCGTACTTCGAGGCGGGAAATGTTCCCGGCCGCGCGAGGAATCCACCCGCAGCAGGCGACGCGTGATAGAACGCGTCCTCGATTACTATTTCATACGTTACAAGCCGGCGAGATCCACGCCACGCTAACGAACCGTACGAGCATCCTCACATCCGTCGGTGCTTCCGTGTCTTCGCGAAAACCAACAATCATTCTCCTTACGTAATAAGGCGCGCACACGAGGACGTTCTCGCGTGACGGACGGAGGATCGAGACAAACGTCTCGACTCTCGCTCAGTACGCGAGAGGAGGACGAGACGTGTTTGATAATGCGTCAATCGTACTCCTGTATTCGCGATGATGCGCGCCGGCTATCTTCCTCGTCCCGCCCCGTATTCCTTACACGCGAGAGAACAAGGCTGCCCGCTCGGCGGGGGAATATGTCAGGGTCTCGTGAGAAAATCCGTTCTCGTCGGTGTGAGTCGGCGGGATCCGAGGAGAGAGAGAGAGAGAAAGACAGGTGGTTACGCATTTTTCCGTCGATCACGCGAGAAGAGACAATCGTAGCCTCCTTCTCCCTACCTGCCCCCCTAGTTTCGCCCACTCTTTTTCCTCGACCGCTGTCTCGCCTTTCCCGCGGCTGCAATTGTCTCGCAATTTCCTCCGCGGCAGCTATCGGATCGGAGGCTGATTGACAAAAAACTTCCGATCGCGTTGCCGCCCCGCGACGCGCAATTGCGCTGTGCAATCGCCCGCGAGCGAAACGAGTCGGGCTAGGGAAAGAGGAAGATAGATAGATAGATAGATAGATAGATAAATAGATAGATAGTTTATTAATATTATTTCCATTGTACCCCTCTGATGTTACAAATTACTTTCGTTTTCCTCACTTGATAACTTAATGTAGTATTTAAAATTTCCCCTTGAGAGATCTATGTTCCCTCTGTAACATGAAAGGAGCACTAATAGAACTCCTTTCATACTACAAATGGAAAGTTATTTCCGTTTTCTCCACTTCAAGACTTAATGTAGAATTAAGAAAACTTAAGTCATTATTTATAATCGGATCTTGTATTTGAGACCGTTTTAAATTCATCTTCAGATGTTATGCGGCTTATTACATTAGCTACGAAGCATCTGAAGATGAACTTAAGACGGTCTTGAATATAAGATTCGATTATAAATACCGTCTTTAAATATACCTTAAAAAGTACCTGCAAATTTGCAACACTATGCATTTAAGGATTAATGTAGGTGACAATTTTAAAATTTCGACTCGGGAGAAAACGTTATTTATTTGGGGATAAATCCCCTCAAGCGCAATAACGATACAAATAGTACTATTCGTATATAAATGGTTATAATAACTATAATA